AATATCAATCTGAAACTCTCTTCTGAACCGGCATTAAAGGGACCCATTTCTCAAACGAATAGTGATGGGTGACACAAAGTGGATCATCTACCACAATATAGAGAACAGGAGATTGTGGACAACTGCTGAAGCTGACATCCGGCCGGTCTACATCCGAAAAAGATTTTGCTCTCCGTATGATGGGATTATCACGGTGAACTGTTTTAAGAGTAGCTTCCACAAAGAAAAAAAATTAATTCGAAGATCTACTGCACGTAGTTAACAAAATTGGACCAAGCATTGCGACAGAAATGTCCAGCACTAGTCAATCGCAAATGTGTTGTATTCTACCATGACAATGACAGACCACGCTCCGTAATAATCACACAGAAAAAGTTAGAACATCTTGGCTAGGATGTTTTATTACACCCACCATATTCTCCAGACCTTGCACTATCTAACTACCACTTATTCAAGTCCCTCCAAAACTGCCCCAACGGAAAATTGTTCGCTGATAAGGGAAATGTGAAAAACTATTTCGATCAGTTTTTCGCTTCTAAGCCTCAGATGTTTTACAAGAGTGGAATAATAAAATTGTTAGAAAGATGACAAGAAGTAATTAATAAAAACAGTGAATATATTATTGAATACAATTTATTCTTTGTATGAAAAAAAAACATGTTTTATTTCATCCTTCAAAAACCGAATGAACTTATGGATCCACCCAACTTTATAATTCTTAGCATGGTTATTTCAGTCATAAATGTCATATATTTGTAATGAAATCAAAACAGATAACATTTTATCATTAAGTGATTGATAAATCAACACTTTAATGATAAAAAATATTATTTAGGTAATATTAGACTGTTTTATATTCTTTGAAGATCAGGTTCTTTGTCATCCTTAAAACTGAAAAGTCATCCCATATTGACTAATAATCTTACTTCAATCCATCCCAAAATATAATTTACAAATGAAATATAAAATAACAGCAGTATAAATTATCTGGATATGACAATAGTCAGAAAAAAAGGAAAAGTATATTCTAAATAGTATAAAAAAAATTTGGCACATCACACGACTTTCACTTACCTCTTCTCAGCAGAAAAAGGTATTTTCAGACAAAGGGAAAGTGAAAGTAAAAATTAAAGACGCTATATTAATTTATATTTCATTGTGGGTATTTTTATTTGTATAAGTACCATTATATGTACAAATTTTAATATTTATATAGCTGTAATCTATACAATTAAATATTAAATAATACCAACAATAGCATTTATGAAAACCACATTTGTATATTTACATAATATTGTCGGAGTCCATATTATATTAAGCTCGTATTACGTATGGAAGCCTGTTGTAATCTTTTGGGTGACCTCGGATGCGCTTGTATTCCTTTGGTTCCTCAATTACAACTATTCTCTGCTACGATCTCTTTTTTTCTCCTTTAGCTAATTATCAAATTCTTTCTCATATTGTATATTTAACTATCTTTTATATTAGAAATCAATGTGAAATGGTCAATTGTTTCAAATAAAAAAATTAAAGATACTTTAGAGGAAGCTAATATTGAAAATTAACCATTTAAGCCCTGTTAGAGAACATTAATCAGAATAAAAACATTTTATTTAAAACGGCTTAATTATACACTGATATAATGAATTTAATCAAAATCGTTAGAGCCATTTCTTAGAAAATTGTAAAAATGTGTTTAGTCCATGATTTAAAGTGCCACTTTGACGAAAAAGTTGCTGTAACATTCCTAGCACATAAAAAACCTTAAACATGCAATTTCACTTTCATGTGACTTTTTATTTTTGAGATAGACTCTTAACACAGACATACACACACACAGACCTTTTTGCGGGACCTGGTAATTTGGAATCAGGGGACCTCAAAACGTGTATTTCCATTGGAAAATGCTCACAATCCCAATACTTCCCTTTACTATAAATGTCATATATAGGTAAGTGAAAGTAAAAAGCTAATTTTTATTCAAATCACCCCAAAAAACAAATCATAAATGTAGGAAACAATAAAGCAATCAAAGTTATAGGTGATATATACATGAAGGAAATTAAACAATAAGTTTCCGAAATTTTAAAAACCAGTTTCTATCTAAATAAATAAATTAATAACAAAATTATGGTACAAAGCAATAAATAAACATAAGAATTTATCAATAGCAAGTAAAGAACTAACTGACAATAACACAATTCAAAATTGTCTTACAGACAATACAAATGAAAATGAACAGTCAACTTCAATAAGCATCAGCCCTCATCCCAAACTAGTCTTAATTTTTTTTTAAATACCACCTCATTAATTAAAACCAAAGAAAACAAACTGAACCAAAATCAAGAAAATTATAATATACCTAACTTCATAAAAAATAACAATAAAAAATTTAATCCCTAACATACATTGAGAAAAATTATATATTGGAATGACCACTAACGATATAAAAACACATGTCTACAATAATAAAAGGACACAACACTAAATCGAACTATGAGAAAAATCGATTTCATGTCTGTGATTTTTCTATATATATATATATAGCAATAAATCAGAAAAAGGTACTAAATTCAAAACAAACTAATATGCAATATTATTAACAAATAATAGCTAATAATAAAAATTTTAAATAATGGTGGATGAATTAAGATGTTGGGTAGCTTATGTTGCTATAAAGTTCTGTAATATAAATGGCGCTGATGGTAAATGCTCAACAATCAGTAAGATGGAGTCTGACGAAGAGATGTTTCTGTTCTCTGAGATGTCAGAAATCATTTTAGATATAATATGAGATGAAGAACACAGACACTGTTCTAATCATTTTAAATGTTTAAACAAAAAGAAGTAAAGATAAAAGATACGGCATGATAATAGTTGTATGACAATTAGAAAATTACATGATAGAAATAAATTTTTAATATTATCCATTAATGTCGTAATATACAGAGATGAATATGATGCAGGGACACCGAAAGCTTTTCATATTTTAAGATGTAAAATAAAATAATTTATACAGAGAGTATCATTGCTAAAGAACCTGATCTTCCTTTTTGCCAATCCCTGATGGCTATCAAGAGGTTGCCACCGCATACTAACAGTGTCAAGATTCACTTCTCAAGGCAACTCAGAAATGAATATTAACTGACCCAGGTGGGAATCGAACCCACAACATTCAAATCTCACTCTGGGACCCTCGTCCCAACATGATGCTCGGCCATCACAGCCTCTACTACTACATATAAAACATGAATAATAATTATTATACATCAATTCTTTTATTTGTGTATATATATATAATGAGGCCGGGGAAGCTGTACGGGCTAAGGCACTTGCAATAGGTAATTAAAGTTAAGCAACATCGAGCGTGGTCAGTACTTGGATGGGTGACCGCTCGATTAGAGTGACCGTCCACCACAGAAAGACACGCTGCCCGAGATTCCTCCCCTCCCCCTCGGGTATGTTAGACCCGTCAGCCTACTGGAGGCAACTCACACTGCAGGGAGGTGAGTGACCCTTTGGCAGATATAGCTTCTGGTCCTCCAGGTTGGGGGTTGGGCATAGGGCTAATAACCCTATCCTGCCAAAAACACCATATTAGGATACCAAAAACCAGCCTCGGAAAATCTGACTCTCATAACATGGTAACGACTCCGGCTTTGTATAACGGACTCCATATCGGATCATGGAAGTCATTCCCGAAAGTAGACAGATTCAAATACCTCGGCTCCACAATAACCTCAATAAATGATCAACTAACAGAGATAGACCAGTGAATAACAAGTGCCAACAGATCTTTCTTCTCTCTTTCAATGGTACTGAAATCCAGAAAAATCTCCAAAATCTAAAAATAAGGGTGTACACTGCCGTGATTAAGCCAGTTCTGCTGTACGGTTCTGAAACCTGGGCTCTAACAGGCACATTATAAGACAGAATAGAGAGATTCGAAAGAAAAGTTCTACGTAGGATAACAGGATCTATATGGGACCAGAACTTTGACACATGGAGGAGAAGGAACAATAAAGAACTGCTGAAAGAAACGGATCAGTCAATATCTCATGACATGAAGGTAAGGAGGTTAAGATGGGCGGGGCATGTAGCTCGTAGCAATCCATCAGGACGCCTTTACACAACAATGAATGCCAGAGTAGTAGGCAAGAGACCACATGGGAGGCCAAAAACCAGATGGATAGATAGGATAAACAAAGATACGGCTGAGCTTCATGCCGCAAACTGGAAAGCAGTAGCCCAAGATAGGCAGAGGTGGAGAAGGCTGGTTCAGACAGCCAAATATCTACAAGGTATGTAAAGCCAACCAAAGAAAAAAATATATATATGTATAATTTCATAATATAATGAAAATGATTTGCAAAACTATTTATTAGGTGATTTTTATAAATACTAATAAATGAATTATAAAAATAAATAATTGACAGCAATCATGTTCAATAATCGACAGGCTTATAAACCATTACTAATAATTAATTAACAATAATAAGAAAAGTAAATAAAGAAACGTAACTAGGACAGTTAGTCTCCTAAGAATAAAGAAAATTAACAAAAGAAGTGACATTTGTCTGGAATAAAATGGCTGTCAAAAAATAATTAAATTACAGAGTTATAGAACCTTAACATTAAAATAAAAGATAATCATAAGTAAACTATTATGATTATAGATATATACATATCGGTGTGTTTACATATTTGAACTGAGAAGTAATATATTAGTAAGATACTAAATAGATAACTGTGAAATAACAATAAAATGAGGCTGGCAACACTAAAATACAAACATTTACATATGTTATTATTAGATACAAACAATACGATTCCTTAACTAACAATAAAGACTTGATTTTAATTAAAATGTTGCCTCCACTGTTTTAATTAACAATAAATAAATCATTATCAATGTGAACACACATGCAGTGA